TATGAAACTTGATATATGGATAGATGGCAGTATGGAGATTATGCACGTCTTTTTCTTTTCTTCTTATGTTGAAAATTCTGGTTGCTATGGCAACAAATAGACTGAAAATATGGCAAATTTTACACATAACCTGGATCCAGTGATAACACAAAAAGTACTGAAAATATGTTTATGAAACTTGACATATGGGTAGATGGCAGTATGGAAATTATGCACATCCTTTTCTTATCTTCCTATGTTGAAAATTCTGGTTGCTATGGCAACAAATAGACTGAATTTCAAGATTTCTGATTCTAGTTTTTAAGTTTTTTCACTATAAGTTCTTTATTTCTTAAGGTATTTTCTTCAAACTTTAAATATAACTTGCTTGTCATCAACCACATCATATGTGACAAGGTTTACAACTCTAGCACAAAATTTATCAGAATTACCTCCCTTGAACTTAAAATTTTCATGAAAAAATCATTGTTTTCTTTAATAACTTCTTTTTCTGAATGTATCTACTTCAAACTTCATATAAATGTTTCTTATTGTCACTCAACATTTATGAGTGTTCAATACTCTAGCAAGACTATTTCCAGAATTATGCCCCTTTTTAACTTAAACTTTTTTTTGAGAAATTTGTAATTTTTACTCCAACTTCTTCAATCATGATAGGATTTTAAAAATGTTATATTTTGATAACAGGGATGGTTTAAAAAATAACTTAAGAGTGTCCTTCAGTCCGTCTGTCTGTACATAAAAACTGTTTCCTGTGATCACTTTTAAAGAACTTTTTCAACAAATTTACTTAAAATAGGAACCTATTTAGTGAATGGCCAATGGCCCTTCAAAATTTTGCTTTGGCTCTTACCGGTAGGGGACTTATGGATTGCTTGCAATACTATGATAATTGCTTGTTCAAAATTAATTTTTGTCCAGAGCATAACTCAAAAGGCCTTTGAGATATCAACATGAAACTTCATAGGTGCATAGATCTCATTAAGGAGGTTTGCAGTGCACAAGAATGATAACTCTACCTTTCATAATTTTTGAGTTATTGCCCGTTGTTATTTTTCATACTTAATTTTTCACCTGAGTGAAGCATAACTCAAAAAGTATTTGAGATATCAACATGAAATGTCATAGGTAGATAGATCTTATTGAGGAGGAATGCTATGCGCAAGAATGATAACTCTTCGCTATATATTTTTAAGTTACTGCCCTTTGTTCTTTTTCATACTATTTTGTCCGGAGCATATCTCAAAAAGTATTTGAGGTATCAACTTGAAACTTCATAGGTGGGTGGATGTCATTAAGGAGGAGTGCAGTGCACAAGAATGATAACTCTATCCTGCATAATATTTGAGTTATTGCTCTTTTTTATTTTTCAAAATTAATTTTGTCCAGAGCATAACTCAAAAGGCCTTTGAGATATCAACATGAAACTTCATAGGTGCATAGATCACAATCAGGAGGTGTGCAGGGCACAAGAATGGTAACACTACCTTTCATAATTTTTTAGTTATTGCCCTTTGTTATTTTTCATACTTATTTTTTCACCTGTGTGGAGCATAACTCGAAAGTGTTTGAGATGTCAACATGAAATGCCATAGGTGGATAGATCTTATTGAGGAGGAATTCTGTGCACAAGAATGATAACTCTTCCCTATACAATTTTTGAGTTATATTGCCCTTTGTTCTTTTTCATACTATTTTGTCCGGAGCTGATCTCAAAAGATATTTGAGATATCAACTTGAAACTTCATAGGTGAATGGATCTCATTGAGGAGGAGTGCAGTGCACAAGAATGATAACTCTTCCCTGCATAATTTTTGAGTTTTTGCCCTTTGTTATTTTTCATACTTAATTTTTCACCTCAGTGGAGCATAACTCAAAAGTGTTTGAGATGTCAACATGAAATGTCATTGGTGGATAGATCTTATTGAGGAGGAATGATGTGCGCAAGAATGATAACTCTTCGCTATATAATTTTTGAGTTATTGCCCTTTGTTATGTTTCAAAATTTAATTTTTGTCCAGAGCATAAGTCAAAAGGCCTTTGAGATATCAACATGAAACTTCATATGTGCATAGAGTGTGCAGTGCACAAGAATGATAACTCTTCCCTGCATAATTTTTGATTTTTTGCCCGTTGTTATTTTTCTTACTTAATTTTTCACCTGAGTGGAGCATAACTCATAAGTGTTTGAGATGTCAATATGAAATGTCATTGGTGGATAGATCTTATTGAGAAGGAATGCTGTGCGCAAGAATGATAACTCTTCGCTATATAATTTTTGAGTTATTGCCCTTTGTTCTTTTTCATACTATTTTGTCCGGAGCTTATCTCAAAAAGTATTTGAAGTATCAACTTGAAACTTCATAGGTGGATAGATTTTACTGAGGAGGGGTGCAACACACTAGAATGATAACCTACCCTGCATTTTTTGAGTTATTGCCCTTTGTTATTTTCAGCCATCAGTATTCACATAGGTTTCAAATCTGTAATCACTTCAGCCATTAGTTTTCATTACCAAAAGACCTCTTAGAATTGAATTATTCTGCTCTACTATATATACCTTCTTCCAATGAGCAAACCCATTCGGCGGGGGATGGTCATGTTGACATGGCTCGTGTTGATTTCTAATTTAAGCGCTGTGTACAGGGCTACGTCATTAAATCAGCCACTTGCCCCTCACCGCTGTGGGTTCGAATCCCGACAGGGACTTTGGATTCTTTCATGTGATGAAGCTATCCAGCTAGCTTACGGAACGTCTGTGGTTCTACTCATGTGCCCGTTCGTGCCTGAAATAATGCAAGGAAGGGCACCTGAGGTCTTCCACCACCAGTAAAGCTGAACGTCGCGATATGACCTATACTGTGTCGATGTGACGTAAAACCCAAAAATCATTAAATCAGTAGATAGGAATCAACAGGAAAAACAACAGAATCCTGAGTTGATATACGCTCGTGTTTCGAAATTGTAATGTTATCACATTCAGACACTCTTTATTTTATCATACGAAAAATGAATAACAAATAGTATAGTTTACAGATTTTTTCAGTCAAACTTAACATCAAAATGTTCCCAGATAATTAAAAAGATTGCAGGAATACGGTCACTTAAATGACAGAGAATGTCATAAAGCAACTGTCAGATGACGTAATTATTATATCAGCTAAGAGTTAAAGCGAAAATGCTTAATTAATATCTACTCAATGTATGCGTTGTTTTTAAAACAAGATATGCAAATGACTGGTAAACCAAATAGCAAACACTGTGCGAATAGTATAATCAGCAAAACTGTAACGAATAAAGCAAGCTGGACACACGGGGAAAACCAAAGCAAGCGTAACAAGGCAATATAAGCTTGCCTGACTATGTGCCATTTGGGCAAAACATAGGAATGCAACTTGACTTAAAAGATTTATGTCTTTCTTGGCAAGCGCAAAGTACTCCAGAATTGATATATGTCCAAAGCTAAAACTATGAATGACAGGTTATTAAAACTAGTCGTAATTGTCCCTTAACCGACGGGTTTGAGGTCATGACCTCACCATCGATATCACAGAAAATACGACCGGCAGATCAAATTCAGCAAAATACATGTAGGAAGTATTAACAAATGAAACTTTATAACACAAAATGCAATGAAGTTTTTGGTTCGCCTTATAAACTCTCAGCTAACATAAGTTAAATCAAATTTATCCCCCAAAAATTCGAAACTTAACTATTTTATGCAATGTTTTTTAGAAAGGCATTCTTAAGATAATCCAAATACATATCAAGGCCCTTATCATTTAAATTTATGCCATCCTCGCGCCAAAACCCAGTGGCCGCATCTATATTAGGGGGTATTATATCGTGTTCGCCAGAAGAGTGAACCAGATATCTCTCCCCCCTTCTTTTATTTTCAATGGACTGCCAGCCATTAACTGCACCAGGCCACACTCGTCTCTTGGGGATATCTTCAGCTTCAATGGTTCGACGGAATGACAGCCATCGAAGACCCCCGACAGCCCACCAGGCAATCAATCACCTTACCTGGCGGCATGTGCACATTGGTCATCCCAGTAGCTTAAGCTCGTATGAAATCCCAGTACGGGATCGAATCCCCAAGAACCCACACATCTAAATAAAAGTACAAAAATACATCATAACATTTTAATTAGGCGCTACATGACATTAATTATAGCAAGCTACTGACGAATATACGTTTTATAAGAAACAGAGGACCAGCAGCCCATTTTCTTTATAGTTTCCATTGTAACCCCTGATGCAGCTAAATCAGTTGCCCTACCAATCCTAAAACTGTGTGACCTATAATGACCAGCCAGAAACTGTGTTTTAGAGTACTTCTTAATAACGAAAGAAAATTGTGTTCGTGTAACCGGTAAACCGTTTGAATGACAAAATAAAGGACCGTCAATAGACGGCCTAATTGCTAGATAAGCAGATATTGCTTTAACGGGGCAGAGATAATGCTCACTGCTCGGAATTTTTATTTTAACTTGCTTACCACGTTTATTATTTTTTTTTACAGTTTTGTAGTTTAACCGATATGTAAGTATAGTTTGTCAATTTAATGTCACTTAGCTCTATCTGACTAATCGACATGGGTCAACTAGCACACTGACTCTAAATAGCACAAAATATGCTAGTAATAATAACGCCTGAAACAAACGAGACTCATTTGTTGCAACATGTTGTAATGCAGCGCAAACAGAAGTAAGTACATTAAATGTCAAAGGGGCCCGCCTATTAGTATGGCGTTTCCGGTGACAACCTTCCAGGATTTTCTTAATAACGAAATTGTGAGCGATATCGTGTAATTCTGACAACTTGTGATAATATGTAGGGTGAAATACTTTAAGGGGAGAGACCCTTTTCAAAACAATGAGCTATAAATAAAACAACATGCCGAACCGGTATTGGCCATACATTATGGAATTTATATTTCCTCCTTAATGTTGTAAACATATTCAATGCTACTTGATAAGTCATAGGAGAATTTTGTGCTATTCTAGACCGTAATAACTGGCCGGCTCTAAATTGAAGGTATCCCACAGAAAGGTCGGCACAAGGCGGGGTTCCGAGTCGGCCTCGGGAGCGAGTAGCCTGAATCGTTCCTCCTGAAATCAAGATAATGCGTCACATATAGTATTGTTGTAACCTTCCACGTGACATTCAGCTCTAAACATCTGAGAGTTAGAATCCTTACTGAATTCATGACGCGATCCGATTTTTAGGTTAGTTTGCTTAAAATATGCACAACTGAAATGTTATCACAATTTACTTTAATCTTTTTGTTTTTTAATTCCGAACCCCAGAAAAATTGTGTGACAACGATGGGGAACAATTCTTAAGCTGTAATATCAGACGTTATCCCTGAAGTATGCCAGGAATCCGGCCACCTAGCATTGCACCAATGACCTTGAAAATATATACCAAAGCCCATGCCACGACCCCCGGCGCTGTCTGAGAATAAATGCACGTGCTCATTTGTGACCAAAAAGCGGTCATATAAGACGGATATCCCGTTGAAGTTATTGAGAAAAGACGACCACATTTCTAAATCTTAACGAGTTTCTTTATTAAAGATTTATTACGAATATGATGGTGCGGTTTTGAAAGGCCGGACGTTGTGTTTATAAAACGCATAATAAACGGTCTGTCGACTATAATTGCGCGGCAACAAAAATTCAAAGATCCAGTTAATGACTGCATTGCTTTTAGTTTTGTTTTAGATTTTGATAACAATCTTTAACTTCGTTTAATTTTGATTGCGGTATTCTAACCACCATATTTAAGGTATCAAGTTCAAGCCAAAGGTAATCAATTACCTTAACTGGACCGACCGTTTTATACAAAACGTTTAATTCGGACATTGCTGCCTTTGGCAATAATACAGTCATCTGCTGTTTTCGCACCTCCTAAAAAATCATGAAGGTAGTGAATAAGCATTGGTGACTTCATCTTAGGTTTAGCCGAAAACTCTAAAAAAAAGGTTATGCAACTTATTGAGGTACCGAAGGAGAGTGCCTTGTTAAAGTACAAATTGTCTTCAAAACGAAACTCTAAAAATTCAAAGTCGCACGGGTTGATTGGTATAAGACGAAATGCACTTTTAATGTCTACCTTAAACAAGTTACAATTATTTCCTATTATTTCCTAAATCTTGTACTAATTTGACGGCTTCATCAAAGCTTGTATATTGCCCTGCATTGACAGAAAGGCAACCTGACCTCAACATTAGCATTTATACATTAAAAGCAGATTTCTATTGCAAATAAAAAAAAAGGAAATTATTACATTGATTTCCTAGCCTTCAAATAATGTGTGTGTGACTTTTCATGTCGGAAAATACAACCTACCTGATGTTTTCTGTCTGGAGTATCCCCTGATCCATTGGTTGTGTGACAGACGTTGTATTGGCCGGCAAAAACTGTACTTTGATATTACTCAAGTTGACCTAAGTCGACAAATAGTAAAATGTTTCTGTTTTGACTTTTCATTTTTCTGTTTAGTGACTTCAGGAATTCTTCATAAATGTAACTGTTCATCCAGGCTTTTTTATTAAAAAAATAATCAACTGGCAAACTTTTCACGTCCATTCTACCAAAACACCTCGGATTACGAGATTTACCAATAACAAGAGGCTTAATCTTCTCGCCGGTCAAACTAGAGCACAAAGCCGCTGTTATTCGCTCCTTTGATCTTTTCCCTCCAGCGCAATCATCACCTTTTAATCGATAAGTCTTACGTCCACTGTCACGAAAAAATAAACTTGTTTCATCCATATTGAAAATATTTTCTGGTTTATAGTTTGCACATAATGTAGGTAATTTTTCTGTCCATTCAGAAATTGTTGACTGCTTTACATCGCCCCTCTCACCACTCATAGACCAAAATGAAATATTATGTCTCTTAATGAAACACTCAAGCCAACCTTTCGAGGCCTTAAAGGACGTATTTCCTTGTTTTGCTGCAAAATTGAGGGCCTGTTCCTGTATTAATGGCCCTGTGATGTTTACTCTCCTATTAACAGCATCTTTAAACCATTCATAAGTTAATGTGTTGACTTCCTCATTTCCTGTGAGATATCGACGATTCTTTGTTTCACTGGGAACATTGTTTTCAAAGTCAGATAAGCTTCCAACATCCTTTTGCGTAAATTTTGAATTTGCGGTTTGCCAACACCGAAGTCCTGTGCAATTTTGTACGCTGGTTTACCTCCATCTAGCATTTCTAAGGCCTCAACACGCTGTTCAAGTATTAAAACGATTTTTTTTTTTGCTTTTTTCAGCTGCCATGTTCTGTTAACAAATTAAATCTTGTCACAAATAACATCGCGCGAAATAACGAACGATAACTCTTCGTGTATATATTTTCTGGGGAGCGTTTCAAAGTCGGTTAAAAAATTCTGAAAAGCGAATTGGGACCCGGATTTCACAGTCGTTTATCGCTTAAGACAGGGAGTCGCTTAATTCAGTCTAAATTAATAGTAAATTGCGTCGGGGGCAAAAAATAGCGTCGCATATGACAGGGAGTCGTCTTATTCAGGGGGTCGTTAAGGCAGTCTCGACTGTATAGTTCTGGGTCGATATACTCATTTATGGACTTGCCCGTGGGGTAAGAAAGATGATGAATCATACGAAAATCTCCATGGATTTTCTTCGGAACGAGACCTTTCGGGGATAAAATAAAATTTGAAAAAGGGGGGTCCTTGAAAAGTTCAAAATTTCTGAGTTAACTTGTTTGTTAATTATTTGCGGATTTATTTTTGCCGACTTAAAATCCCGAGCTTTGCTTGGGCCCCTGTATTGTATACGAAAGCCGTGTTTGAAACCATTTAGCAAAAATAAAGCCTCGTTTTGATCATAAGATAAAAGATATTTTCCAAAAATAATACATTAATTGGCGATATTGCTAGACTACTAACATCTAAATTTCAGGAACTATTTTTGGTGTTGACCTCTGCCACGACCATTGAATGGACGAAAATAAGGCCGCCCTCTTAATGGGCCAGCTGACTGAAAATAACTCTGCGTAGCGTTTTGTTGACTAGGGCAAGATATTGCTGGATGCGAATTGCCACATATGCACGAATCTGCAATTCTGCCACCTACAATTTCCTTGATTAAAATCTAGGCATTTGAAGCTTAACGAGTTTGAAGAACTGTTCCGCACCTGCATGCAACGCCAACAGAGGTCGTTATTAATCACTGACCAAGGGGAAGGCAAGAGTGCCTGACGGATACGGAACTGCTCGTCATAGGTTCTCCATGCGTAACCTCCTTGCAGCGCATTCCCTAATTGTGAACATATAATGGACAAGATCATACATTTTATCAGCATGTGTAGATATATATACAGACGCATAGATGGTAAATGCATCCGTTCAACGCTCAATAGAATGGATTTTATCCTTACATTCGCGTTCTGAGGTTTCTAAATGTCCGTCGGAACTTACCAACCTTTAAACGCTTCCACTGCAAAATTCTGACAGCTCAACTGCTCCCTACAAAAGAAGGGAGAATTGACATATCCCCCCTTACTAATCTGCATCGTATGTGGCTATCAACAGGAGCTGGTGGTTCGATGCTTGTCCTGGGTTGCCGGATGTCCGTCTGACTTGGTGAATTACAAACTGCATCCCCATCCCTGGGCCGAGAGGCAGAATTTCTCCTGCCTGAATGGCTTCTTGATCTTACTGAGGGTTCGACCCTTCTCGCAGTAGTACGACCAAGTGGCATTGAAAACTAATGTATTGTACTTGCAAAACTGGCTGTAAGCTAGCTGTTTGGCGAAAAGAGAGATGCACGATATTCACGAGCTTTTATACAGTTAAGCCTGTCTGATTTACTGAAATTAACTATTTTTCACAAGTGCTGGGAACCAGGCAGTACGTACCTACGCAAAATGCCGAACAAAACCAAACAATCAACCATACCAAATTGTTCCGAATGCAATAAACATACAGACTGATTGAGAGCTTTGGCGACAAATAACAGTATTTTCTTGAAAAATAAATGTAATTATTGACGGTCGCTAATAATTCATATTATTATTTTTTAACATATGTTCTGTGAACTGTTGCTATTGTCTTCCGTTAGTAATTCTATAAATGCGTCAATGTCTAATTTTGATTGTTGACCAAACATAAGAAAATACGGCGAAAATCCAGTGCTTTTATGAATTATAACAGCTTCCAAGTCCGAATTATCCCAGTTTTCTAATGTTCCCAGCATCTTGAGTAACGTATAATTAAATATTTATACTTTTCAAATAATTTCAAGTTCTATTTATATGTATCAGGTGACTCAGGTACGTATATTAATATACGTACCTGGGTGACTCACGCAAATGGTGACACAGATGCAGGAAAAAAATCCCTCATACATAGGAGCAAATAGATAAAATGCAAATGTCTCTGGGGCAAAATGCCCAACTATTGCCTTGGTAGAATTATTTTAATATTTAAAATCATTCTCCTTTAAACATAAATATGAGAGGGTTTTGCTGTAACGTTCGCTACCAGTTAAATCAATGTGAACGTTTGTGAAGACTGTAACTGCATCAGGAAATCCCTATAACGATGAGAAATATAAACTATTGCATGATAATTTTTTGATTATAAGACATAATTTGCATTTACAAATCAAAACTGTCTGTGCAGCTGACATACGATAGTGCATTCGTTATGATATTATTTACATGTATTGATTCTATATCACTAAAGATTGTTTGGGAATATTCTTCTATTTTTGTGTAAAATTATGTGTGCAAGTATTTTCCCCATTACATACGTGAAGTATTGAGATCATGCATATTCAAGTACCATTGTCTTCTTAAAAAAGTTCCTTCTTGCCGATGATAAAAATTACATACAGTATTGTAGCGAAAGTACCAGATTCTCTTGTCATAATTACATGGCCGCCACATATCCCTACATCCACGTTAAAAATTAGTATATTTTCTGTTAATGTTTCTATATTTAAAATTTCATCATCTCATGTTAACTCTAGCCGGTACAAGTAGGCGTGATTAGCTTGCCATAACCTGTCCCGTTAATGAACAGGCACTTTCAAAAGGATCCTGCAACATTTTTAATGTTGCTGTTTGACAAAAACCGAAAGAAAAGTTTTTTGACAGAAGTATTACTTAAGGAAGTACACCCCTAATGGGCACTATAAGGAACTGTAAAAATATACAACATAGGACAGTTATATGCCTTAAATGTCACCTGTATGCAAAATTTAAACAAAATTTACCGTGAGATTTATGAGTTATGGGCATTTTTCTGAACTAAACTTTGCCATTAGAAGGGCTTTTTTCAGAAATGAGGAATCTCTAAATAATCTATAATATTATCATTATGAAAAATGTTTTCCTATTGCTCATTAATAAGAAACAAATAATGACATTTAGGTAACAAATTAAACAAGCAAAATGATTGTTTTTAAACAAAATGTTTTTAATATGTATAAAAACGTAACCCTACCCCACCCACTTTTAACACTAATTTGACCATTTCCCTGTGCAAAAAGCCTTCTTTAAAATGTCCCTTAAATTTACCACAATGAGGGGCTGTTTTCAAATTTTGCCTAAATTTTCCTAAATGTATATTGGTTGGTCTTGCAAAATATAAAATACTTTTACCGTGTAGCTTTTATTTTATTAAACTTTGAAAATATCTGGTATCATATTTGCTATTAAATTTGGCATTATTTAGTAAATAAATACCTACAAAAATTATATAATTAAAATGAAACACTTTTTTCTTCCATTAGGGACCTGAGAGATTAATAAAAAATGTTAAAAAGAAAAAAAAAGAAAGAAAAAAAGTTGCCCACCCACGCCCTTCAGTTTCAATACACTTTACAGTGATTCTAGCCTATTTGAATTCTCTTCAAAGTGGAGATACTGCATTAGGGGTGTACTACCTTAACAATAAGACGATGTACAGATGACAGGCTTTGGCTTTCCGGTATCAAAATTGGCCATTCACCGGAATCATTAGTTTGACGTTTGTGATGAAGCATACTTAAGTGGTCCTCAGCTTACGCACAGGAGTTGGAACTGGTCCGATTCCAAGGGTTGCATATTTTTCTTATCATAGCATATATCAAAAAGGAAGAAAGCTAAACAAGATTTGTGAAAAAACGGATGGTTGAGTTTACTCAAAATTACTCATAGGACAGAAAAACTACTACTTCATATATATTTATATCAAATGAAACTTGTGTTATAAGTACGTCATCAATAAAAGAATGAATTGTGTAATTACAAGTTCATCGGAATTAGATTTAATATATATAGATATTCGAGTAGCAATGTTTATTAATATATTCATTATTGATAAACGTCAAGCATTAAAATTATCATGAAAACATAAATCTGAACAGTTCCACCTTCATTACATAGAATGATTTTTCTATGTTCTTACTAGTCAAACAAATTAATGTCTCATTGAAAAGTAATCAAAACTTTTTACCTTTGCCATTTAACAAAATTTAACCACATGAATCAAAAACAAGGGAAGTGTTTATCAATACTTATGCTCATTTGTGAAATATTTCCCAGGCTACGGACATTCCAAAGCTCTGCTACAATGTGGTTGATATAAATTCTTGCCTTCGATAAACGAGTACATAGTTGTCAAATCTATCTAAGCTAGCCGAGTCAGATATAGGTTTTGCAGTTGTGTACAATAAAATAACTATTGTCCTCCACCGTGAATATTTACCTTTTTCACATTTTTTTACATTTTGACAAAATTTCCTTCTTCAGGTACAATGACGAATACAAAATTGACATAAACATTTGACATATGAGTCCTACCAAATAAGATTGCATGAGGCAAACTGTTTAATAACTTTGTAAATGTGTTAAATTTTAAAAAGGACAGTTTACACCGTTATGTTTTTTTTAATTTGCTTCTTTTGAAATTCTTTTTATGAAAGTATTAGGTTGTCTTCATTATGAAAGGCACAGTTTGTTAAAATACTGAAATGCTGAAATTGCCAATCAGCCGCTGACATGTTTATTGTAATCTTACATAAAACAACATTATTTTATCTTAGAAATTTATATGAAGTCTTTATCTGCTTATTTTATTTTTACTTTAAGAAAGAAATTAACATTTGGTCGGCGTAGCATTATTCTGAATTGTTTCATTTGATTGGTTGAATCTATAATTTCATAATTCATAGAATATTTTTAATTGGTTCATTTTATAATTTCTTGTTTAAAGGTTGTATTTTCATTGTTAACTATTGAACCTACTTTAAGGTAAATTTTGTTTTACTGACAATATAAAAAAAAGTAGCCAGAATTATTTAGTCAATAATTATGTAAAGTTTAAGGAGATGTTCTATGGTGCTTTTTAATGTACATAATAATTGTTGGAATTTTTGTAACGAAACATGAAAGAGATGAAAATAACTTCTATAACATAAAATATTCTACGTGAGTTTGTGTTATATATTTTATGAACTAAATGATTTCTAGATGAATTTTGAAGGTGAATACAAATGTAACAATAACAGGTTTACAAAAATAATATTATACAACATGAGAAAAAATATTCATTCATTCGGCCGGTACATGATCAAGGATTCTAAGCTGAGCTTCTATTACAGAAATGTTAACATAAAATATTAAAATAGACGAAGCCTCCTCAGCCCCATCTCTTCACATTTATCAGCACCAAAAGTCATGTACAGCAAGTTGTTAATGCACATAACTCAGACAAAATAGATGCATTACAATGCTACAATGAAAGAAGTGTCAATTTTCAATAATTGAATGAAACATAAAATAAACCTTGCTTTAGATTGTGGTAAAGGGAATGGATACAAAATAATACAATATCCCTTATCGAATTATACTGAAATTGTAAAACATCATGTAAAATTCAGGAAAGGGCAGGTCTCTTGACAGCAATAGAAAATCGCAGACTCAGTTTAATTCAGTCTGTTTTAGTGTGCAAAGTATGATTTAATGCAGTATATGGAACGTTTCCAAAACATATTTTTTTAACCGTTTTGAATTTAGCTTTTGTTCCATCTTAAAATGTTTATTTTTAATTATGCTTCCATCCACTTCCAATCCAATCATCTATCAAAAAGTTAGCACTAACTTGTTGATTCATTTTGGTAATTCGTGATTATACTGCTACAGCAAAACTAAAATGACATAGCTGTTACATTTACTTATACAAAGACAATTCATATATAAGTTATTTCCTTTTTTACTTTGTTTACATTACTTCTTTTTCAGAATCCCTTAATGTTACTTAATACTCTTTACAAAAAAGCTTTAATTTTTATTTTCGTTCAGTGATACAGGGCCTCTTCACGATCTAATTGATTAGAGACGCTTTGTTCAATCATTCAAAACTTTCACTTAGCATGTTATAGTATTCACGTTTGGAAGTTACAGTGCTAATGTCACAAATAAAAATATGTGTGCCAAAGCTTGCGTTATTTCAATGGCAATTCTGGAATAATTTAATTCAGGTTTTTAATAATTGTATTTTCTTTAGAAAATTGCAGTTTTATCAAATAAAATCGAAGCGTAATGTCTATAATTTTCTATAACAACACCGTTGCCAAGAATACAATTACTGTTTTCAAAGCGCATATCAAAGAAGTGTGTCATCTTCTTTTCAGTGTCTTTTTTAATTCGAGGGTGAATTGTTCCAAAAACTTGTGTTAAATGCAAGGTATTTTACATAATCACTATTAGAAAGTACAAATAGTTGGTTTTGTTATTGCAGAAATATTTATTTGTTTCCTTGTATTATAAACCCCCCTCTCCCTCCCTGTACATCGTTCAAAGTTTTTAAAAAGCAAGAACTCTTTCCGTGAATAAAGAAATATATAATTTTGAATAATGTTCAAATAAATTCTATAAAAGTTTGATAATAAAATCAATCAACTCAAAAATGATCAACACAATATATCTTATAGTTCTAATATAGATTCAATTGTGTAAATGACTCATATTTGCAAAATATAAGAAATAAACATATTTATATAAAAGCAATTTTTTAACATTTAATTTTGAATAAAATATTTTAGTCTTTTCAATATTTCGATTAAAACACAACCCCATTGTTTATAATTATGACATTAAAAATAAATATAAACTATAAAAGATGAAAAACTTACTTATCTTGCCAAAAATTTATTTGCAATAAAAACCCTGTAGCATGCGTTATTTAATAAATAAAAAAATCTGGAAA